GCACGGAGCCAGTTTTCCGGCCAATAAGGAAGCCCCGATTGGCCGGAAATCCAGCTCCATGCTTTCACGTCACCAGGCGACGAGGAACCACAGAGACTGCTTCCCGGCTAATCAGGACCCAGGTGGCAGTCATTACACGCCACCCAGCTTCCTTAATTGGACTACCGATATCGGCGAGTAGCGGGGAAAAAAATATGGAACACACACCTCGATACCCCCCAAAAAACACATCAGTGCATCCCTAGTATTTAACTAACCTTTTAAATATATATAGTATATCCCTAACCTTTTAAAAAACTTAAAAATTATTTATTGAAAAAATCTATAAAATACTGAAGTTATTCACAAAGGAAATTTAATTTTATTAAGCGCCCCCATTGCGTTTATACGGAGCTGCTAGCTCTGGCTGCAGATCTCATTAGTTATATAATGTATTATTTGCATCTAATCCTAACTGCATGTAGAATATAAGCAGATGGGCTGCATGGCGCTAGGCAGCCTTTCAATCTTGCAGCACCCAAACCGCCAGCCAGTGCATTTTACCTAGTGCATGTGCAGTAGGCCCAGCCAAAGAGAATGGTCATCCTGGCTGCATGCACATAGCCCCCAACTATCCATCTGGCTGGACTGTTACTCTTGCGACCACAGAACGCTTCTCACTTTTTCCTCAGTTTTACCTCTTTTTAATCTGATCACAAGTTTAAAGTACTACTTAACTACCAACCTTTTTATTATAGGTCATTTTCAAAAGGCAGTACAAAAGGAAAAGTGGTAAAGAACAGCACGTCTTGGATGAAGCATTAATACAAGCCTGCCTGTGACATTGAAGCAGTCACAGGTTGGCGCTATTGATCGGGAACGCAACGAACACATAGTGCCAATCTCCCAGTTCCCAAACCTCTCCCTATAGAGTGGGGACCAATCACTGCTGCCTGCAGGATCCCACACACATCTGAACACACCACAGGACTCTTGGAACAATGTCCTTTGGACAGAAAAGACCAAAGAGAACATGTTTGGCCATAAAAACGAAACAGGATTCCAGGCACGCCAGCAAATATACAACTGAATGGCTGAAAAAGAAAAGCATCAAATGTGTTGCAATGTCAAAGTCCAGACATCGCCCCAATTGAAATGCTGTGGCAGGACCGTCATACAGAAAATTACTACTTTAAAGGTTACTTTTGCTGCTAAAGGTGGCTCTGCATGCTATTTAATTCATACGGTGTACTTTGTTTTTCACACATGGCTTTTCCATATTGGCTTTATGGTAGTAAAATAATGACATTGTGTAATATGGCATGTGTTCTTCATCTGAGGCTGTATTTACCCAATTCTAAAACCTGCTAAGGACCAGCTGATTTTTATTATGTCCTGATACTTAAAACTAGGGATGCACCGATACTAGTATCGGTATCAATGCCGAGTATTTGGGCGATTACTCGTACAAATGCTGATGCCTAGCCTGATACTTCCGATATTAGGAAGCGGGGCAGAGAGCCATTACATGCTGCCTGGCTTCCCGATTGGCCAGCTTTCCAAACAATCAGGAAGCCGGCCGCCACGTAATGACGCAGCACCCGGCTTTCTGATTGGCTGGGAAGCCAGCTTCATGTTCCCTTGTTACCTCATGACAAGAGAGCATGGCCAGGAAGCCGGGTGGAGTCTTTACACGCCGCCCAGCTTCCTTAATGGGACTTGCGGTATCGGTATTGCGAGTACTGAAAAAAAAAAATATTGGTACTCTTACTCTATACTGAAAAACTGGTATTGGTGCATCCCTACTTAAAACCATAGCATTCAAAGAGGTTGTCCTTTTATCACACTAACTACTCTCCTGCTAGATCTTACTAACGAAAAGAGGGTCTTTGAGCCCCAGGTCCATTTAGGGAAACTGTTGCCCATTTAGATTTACAAACTCCTACCACATGGGGAGGTTCACTGAGCTCTTAAGATTGTGTTTTGCTTTGGTACCAATATTTTACATGTATTAGATCATACTGGTTGTTTATGACTACATGACTCTGTTTTTCTACATATAACATTCTATTATAGTAAGTGTGGGTATGTACCGGTTTCTCTACCCCTTTTCCCAATTTAATTTTTTTTTTTTTATAGGCAAAAGGTTCAAAATAGGTAATCCAAGTTATACTTTGTGCTTCTACTTTGATTTTTGGCCATTTCTATGACAAAGAACTGTCAGAACCTAACCAGAGACAGTGCATCACCACTAAAGTGCATCAAATGTACAAACAAAACCAGGCAAGAGACTAAGTTTAAACTAACACTAAATTTCAGTGCCCTGCAATGGGAGAAATCCAGAGGTTGCAATTGCTGACCTTTTGAAAACAAATGCTGTCTGGCTATCCTGCAACTTCTGCATCACTGATCCAGAACTAGTATGTGTCCCTAACCTAAAACAAGTATGCTGATTTAGCATGTCAAAGTGCTTACCTTCATACTTGTTTCAGATCAGTGACCAAGTATTGAACCAAAAAAGATATCCTCATTCTAGCCCAATGCTGCTCAGAACGAAATTCCAGCAACGGAAGTCTTCATGCAATGTTCATTTCAGGCAGACATTGCTAAACTAGTCTCCCACACCAATTCTGACCATCCATATCGCTTTAAAATAAAGCATTAAAAAGGTAAAAAGACAGACTTCAGTAGCAATGCCCGATTTCTAAATCTCCATTTAAGCCAAGGTCACTTGAAAAATACATTTGGTCAAGTGACCTGCTGAAAAAGCTGCTCTGAATAGATGGTGACAGGTTTCAGTTTCCAATTGTTTTGCTCTACCTTGCTTGAAAACCTACATAATCTCGCATGGATAACATTAGGAGCATCAGAATGGGACCAAGGTCAGTGCCAGAAGTAAAATCTATTCCTCATGATCTTGTAATTTCCCAGGGTTTCCTTTTTGAAACGAAATGTAAGATACATTACACAAGAAATGTCCATTTGTTATGTTCTGCTTTGTAAAGCTTCATTCTCTGCCTCAAAACATTCTCAGTTGTGGCAGAATAATGGAGCACCTACAAGACCTAGTCTTTGTATGCTATTCACGCATCTTGTGCTTTAATTCCAACAAGTGGTCAAAGATCGGATTGTGTAGGGATTCCCTAGAGCAAAATGGTCTATCAGAAGACACTCTTATACAAAAAGTAACCAACTGAGAAAATCTACCAGAAGCTGCAGATTCTTGTTTGAAAAAGATGTAATGGTTCCCTGTGGGCACCACCCAACACCTGATGGCCAGGATGATTAAATTCAGTAGGTTCCATAGCAATCAGAGCATCTGCACAACGGACGATCCTTTTGGGGAGACCACTTCCAATCTAGTACTAACCCTGCAGGTTCCAAAGTCATTAAAAAAATACTCTATGGGTCGCTAAGCAACACGTTCACTCTAAAGAACTCCAGGCAGTTAAAGGAACCCCTGCAGTGGGGTCTTGCAGCAGTGAACTCTTAGTTCTCCCCTCCACTTCAGCTGTGTACAGCCCTTTGTGTCCTCACGTACAATACAACAGTAGAAAGGTATCATGGCACACTCACAAACCAGCATGTAAAACAACTTGTCTCACCACTAAGGTTAATAACAGAGGTTTGGATACACGTCTTCTGCAGAAAATGTGACAGCCGCGCCAAGGCACCTCTTATAGTGCGGTCCTAACTCTAAACTATGAGAGTCTCCATCTTGGAGCACATGGGTTAGGACCGCACTATAAGAGTGCCTTGGCGCGGCTGTGCGGCTTTCACATTTTCTGCAGAAGACGTGTATCCAAACCTCTGTTATTAACCTTAGTGGTGAGACAAGTTGTTTTACATGCTGGTTTGTTGTGTGCCATGATACCTTCCTACTGTTTTACTGTTCAAAGCCCATTTCGTGTGCACCTTACTGTATAGCTGGTGACAAATTGTTGAGTGCGTTTGTCATTTGTTTTGCCTCACGTACAATACGACTCAATGGACTTGTATTACACATGACATCAACAGAGCTTAGACCACTGGCGCTCAGGAATGCAGGTTTAGGGACAGGTCTAGCAGCCAGACGGCAGTCAGGTTCAGATGAGTATCTTTATTTTAGCCCCACTGCAAGGGTTAAGTTTTTAAGTGCAGGGATCTTCTTTAACCAGTTGACATCCGCGGTGTTAAACCCCCTTCCCATCCAGGCCATTTTTCAGTATTCAGCGCTGCGATACTTTGACTGACATTTATTCCGTCATGCAGCGCTGTACTGAAATGAATTTTATACCCTTTTTTAAGGACAGATAGAGCTTTC